GTGTTTAGGCTACAACATGTTACTTAGAAAATGTGTGCTGCTGACTTCTCCACAAGCTACTGGGAATTAGATGTTCCAGTTAAGGAGATTGGATGGGACGTGTGGGTTGTAGAGGTGCTCTCGTCTATATATAGACATGCAAAAATCTGCTCCTCCAAACAAACTAGTGCGACTCATTTTCATAGCACCTTAGAAAACTAACATCAATACCAGTGAATGAAATACCAATAAATATTTGGCCTGTTTAGCCAGTTAAAGACTTACATACTAGTTGATTATGAATATTATGGACTAAGCATTTCAGGAGATTAGGGAAGAAGATTGATTCCTATTGGAGCCTGAAATTAGGAACAAAATCTGTCTAAGAGCCAGATTAAAATACATCTACTTTAAATCAGGATTTAAGATTTATGTAAGATTTTTTTGAGTGGACTTTATATGAGATCTCCAGCAAAACCTCCCGTGACCTTTACAGCACACTGTCCTCCATATCCGCCTAAATCTTGCATTCCTCCTACTTCTGTCGTGACTTGAACCTCTGAAGCCTGATGATATAACAGTCATAATATGCTGTCTTTATACAATTTGAAATTCAGACACTTTAATCTAGAAAAGTCTTCCTTGCCTTCGGCTGAAGGTCGAGACATTTTCTGAAAGAAACCTCTCTGGTGATGAAGATAGAGGCTGTATTTAAGCTCGGGCATATAGTAACGAGAGCAAAATTCTAATTTCCCACCTGAATGTTGTTATACTCGCATTCCCCCTCCTGATTCTCCAGAGTGGACATCAGCTGGCTGCTATTTCAATTCAATTACTCCTTGTCAAGTTTGTTGCATCGCTCCAGCTTGGACAAACAGAATCGGGGGAAATAACAGATTGAATCTACCCTCTCCACATTGTGCTGTAGGGGGAAAGTCTGACCTGCTGCACTGGTGCCTTCCATCCCCTTTATCCCTGCACTGAAGCACTTGAGCTTAATAACAGGGGCGCCCCACCGCAGGAGGGATCAAGAGCTCGGGTTCAGTAGCAGTCAGATTAAATTAAAAGTCTTATCACTCACCTCTAACACCTCAACCTCTACAATCTGCTCGCCTCAAAACATGAACACCAGAAACCACAGCACGGCGGCCCAGAGCAGCTTTAAAAGCCGTGTCCTTTTAAAGTACCATCTTGTTTATATAGCTCCTTTCAAAAACAAATTATAGAATGCAATTACACTGGCATAATGCTGAAGGCCCCAACACCTCAATAATTTAATTCCATACACATAATCAATCTGATTATACCTGACTTTTGGCACTAACTTACATCTGAAAAGTCAAGTGAGGAATGGTTACCTTAATGAGAGAAAGGGAATCCTTCTTAATGTATTAAGAAGATATTTTGGCTCTGCACTCCAACTGCAGTGGTGCTACGGATCGATGTTTTTTTAGGAGAAGATGCCAAGAAATCTAGCATACCAACAAAAAAGGCCCGGGAAAAGAATGCAAACGAGTAAACATGGATGAAAGCAACGTAGCTCTTAAATTATTTTTAACAAATCAGCATTGCAAATGCCTCTTGAAGGGCTTTGATGTCTTTTCATTTAAAAGGACAAAGAGGGAAGGAAACGCTATAGCAACAACAGTACGATGGAAGAATGAGTCTCTTTTTTTAGTCCAAATAAAACTAATCTCACCCAAGAATCTCTCAATCTTCCTGTTACCAGCTCAAAGCTTTAGTCGCTAAATCCATTAACCTTTCATGCAGAGTTTGCTTGCCCAATTAAGCAAAAAATGAACAGC